GACTCCCGTCCTCCGCCGACACAGGGGTGCAACCCACGGCAAACAGGTTGGCCAATTCGGTCGCCTTTTACGACCAGCAATGGGGTGCTGTGGAAATATTCTGCCCCGGTTCCACACGGGAGAAGAGCTATTAGCGCTACCCAGCACTCACCATGAGGAGGTTGCTCTTCACGAGTGCCAAAAATTACCGCTGAAACGGGCCTTACAAAATTAATCCAACGCAATGCTTCAACGATTGCTCCTAGTTCAGCAGAAAATGCTGAGAAGTGATCAACCAATCGGATAGAAAGTGTTCTCTTTTCATTAACGATGAATATATTAGCACCAACACGACCAGACACTGGGCACTTAGAGCCATCAGTGTAAATCTGCATGGCATTTAACCACTGTAAACTTCGGATATGTTCCTTGGCTATAACTACCTTCAGAGGATTGTGATTTCAGGCCCGTTTTTATCATGTTATTGTTATGTATAGCGCTATACTTTTTATGATTTCTTACTAGTTTTATATTTTTTTTCTGTGATAAGTCTAGTTATTTTACTGTCCTTTGTTGGCAGGTTTCAAAATATTTATCATGTTTGAGCCCCTTATAGTCTCGATATGGCTGCAACATTGCCGATGTGACTTAAAACCTAAAACTCACTTACCATCAGTGTTTATGCTTGTATATTCATGATATTGATGTTTAAGTTCAAGGAATGCATGTTGAAATGATAAAGAGTTCGTATCTGCCTTTTTCAAGATTGTGAACACAAAATTGACACGAGGCTGTATTGAGTGAGTAAGAGTGGTCTTATGCCGCTTTTAACAATATTCCAGCAATATCACGGCAGGGGACACTAGAAATGGGCTTCGCACATTGTACCCAGGAATCGAACCCAGGTCTTCGGCGTGACGAACGAACGCTTTAACCACTAGGCTACCCTACTGCCCCAGGCTCTATTGACTGCCATGGTTGCACTTCAGGTAGTTTCTCTGTTGCAACTGAAGAAATATTTAGATCTGCGTCTGTAATGTGTTGTTGAATACGGATAGTGGAGGAATTGATTTAGCTTTTTTTGTCATATAAATTATGATAAGGGGGATTAAAAATAATGTTAAACGATGAATTGGAATGAAGTTTTGTAACATATTGAAGTGCCAGTTTTTGTATCCTTCTGATATCAAGACAAGTTTCAGCAGCTTCACATATAAACTTTCATTAGGGAAAGTTCTTAATGCACCAAGACAAAATCTTATACCTTGATGGTGAATGGTGTTAAGGTCTTTAATGTACGTTTTATGGGTTGAACCATATATGAAACAGCTGTAGAGCTTAGATCGAATTAATGTTCGATAGAGATGTAACAGAGTGTGTTGGTCGCCACCCCATTTAGCATTTGATACCACCTTAATGATATCAAGTGCTTTCAGTCATCTCGCCTTCAGATTCTTTATAAGAGGTATAAAGGATAACTTATGATCAAAGGTCTGACCCAATTTCCATTTACTGCAAAAAAAAATACAGCAGGTTTTAGTTTTAGAGAACTTAAAACCATTTTCTAGAGACCATTTATGTATTTTATTGAGACAAAGTTGCAACTGTCTTTCAGTTGTATTCATATTTCTACTACGGCAAGATACATTGAAATCATCAACAAATAACCAACCATCAATATTATCATTTACAACTTTTGCCAGGCTATTGATTTTTATGCTAAAAAGTGTCACTGATAAAATACTGTCGTGAGGGACCCCTATTTCCTGATCATATATCTCAGATAATGTGGAGCCCACTCCAACTTTAAATCGTCAATCTTCTAAAAAGCGTGTGATAAAATCAGGCATACGTCCACGAAGACCCATATTATGGATATATTTTATGATGCCATATTTCCATGTTGTATCTTATGCCTTCTCTAAACCAAAAAGAAAGCATGTTGTGTATAAATGAAACCATTGCGTACAAATGACTCTTATCAAACGTGATGATCGGTGGTGCTCCTCTGATGCCGGACTGAATATCAGTTATAAGATTATTGGATTATGAATACAAGACAAGACGCCTGTTGATCATCCGTTTTAAATATGCAACTTGTTAAAGCTATTGGACGGTAATTAAAAGGATTCGGGTGATGCTTCCCTGGTTTTGGCACAGGAATGATAGTAACCTCATGCCAAGAAGAAGGAAAATTACCCGATTCCCAAATATTATTGAAAATCAACAAGAGCGTAAAATGAGATGACTCAGGTAGACGTTTCAATATTTGATAAAGGATATCATCTTGCCCAGATGCTGTATCATGAGCTTTATGTAGAGCCTCTTGCAGTTTACTTAAGGAATAATATTCATTACAATCTTCTGAATTATCGGATCTGAAATTCAGAATCTTTGCTTCCTGCTGATTTTGATGTATCAGAAATTTGGGGTCATAGAGTTTTTACTAATTGCCAGCTTATTAGCGATGTCCTTGTTTTTGGATGTTAGCGTATCAGTATCAATTTTCAAGTGTTGAACACTGCTAGAGGACCCTTTACCTGTGATTCCTCCAACCATATTCCATACCTTATTGAGTGGAGTAAGAGTAGTCAATGTGGAAACAAAATGTATCCAGCTGCTACGTTTATTTTGTTTAATTGTTCTACGAGCCTTTGCTATTGATATCCTCAAGTGGTTTAAAGTTACCGGACATATGCTTCACACATTGTACCTTTGTGGGTACTCTGGCCCCCGGCGTGGCGAGCGAACGCAATAACCACTAAGCTACCCTATCGCCCCACTGGAACAAGTAAGTAACCATATAACAAATATTCATAACAGTACATGATAAAAGCGGGCTATTGATCACCACCAAATCAAAGCTTAGCCACCATACATGTGGGGGCTTAAGGGACAACTGCTACTGCACGGTTCCCCAGCAGGGTTTACATCATGCATATTGTCAATCTTGTTGGGAGTGTTTGTAATTTACATATCCTACATTTACTATGATCATTTAATGGGTACAAGGGTTGATTTAGCACACTGAACGTTGCAAAAGAGGTTCATACATATCTGGATATAGTTTGTTCGAATTTGACAATAATACTAAAACGAGCACTGGAGATCTCTGGAAAGAATGGGTAAACGAAAAACTTACGCTTCTCGTTGTAGTCATTTCTTCCAGTCCGATTTTTTTATCTTAGACAACAAGCACTATAGTGCTGGAGACAGTTGAGCCAGCATCTCCCTGGTGATCAAGCCATCTGCAATTTTATCATAATAATAATGCGTGGGGATATTTAAGCATTTCTTCCACATTGACAACACTTTCCAAAGTGAATTATATATAGAACCACATTTCAGAAAAGGCGAACCAGCCTTGTATAATGATTGCACCGGTTACTATAACTGATTTTGTTAAGAGATTTATGTATTCTTTTGTTTAATTTAATTGAGACATACAACATATAATTAATGTTTGCTGACAGATCTATTTGTATTTGGTATATGAATGATTGAAGAATCTGGTACACTAAAAGTAAATGCCTGTTGCCTGTATTCGTGTTGTATTTTTTCCATCACCTTTCCGGCCACAAGATGAGGCGTGGCGTTCAGAAAACACGTGACCCGGCCACAAGATGAGGCGTGGCGCTTAGAAAACACCTGACCCTATGCTTACTTGTTTAGGAAACGCCTCATTTGCAGGAGAAATACCTCACATGTATAATATATTATTATGGGCGTGACCAATCTCTCTATAAAAATGGTCTTTGTGAGTTTTATAGACACTTCAGAAAGTCTAAAAAGACGCTATGAGGTTCTCTGGTGCTCAAGGCGTACTCCTTCTTGTTGCCTGTTTGCTGATCGTCCATGAAGCAGCGACCAGGCGCAAAGTGTGTACATATCGTCATGGCTGTCAGGCAAATGTACGGCTCAGCGCAGCAGCCGTGTGTCGTCAATTCGCTGACACTGAGTCATCATGTAGGTCATGTCACTGTCAGGCACCTTCTTCATTTCATTGTCGCCGACTTTGCGCATTCAGAGAACAAATAACAAAGTGTGCCAGAGAGTTCCTGTGTCCACCAACAACTACAGAAATGACTGTTGCATCGACTGAAGCGACAACCTCTACAACATCTCCAACCACTCCAACGACGCCAACGACTCCTACGACTCCAATGCGTAAGTGTCATGAACATGTATGTAACTAGTCAAATCGTGTGGTGTGATGATTTAGACACTATTCGTGTCCCACGATTTAGCTTACAAGAGACACCATTAAGGTTTTAGCAAAATAATGCACTACACTATACTCTGATGGCATTAGCTGTATGAGTTTGCTGGTGACGTTGTCATGAACTTGATCACAAGTGTTTAGAACTAGCATTGATTTATGTGAATATTAAATACCGATTTGTTGCTAAAATGACCAAGATTTGAAGAGCTTTTTTTGTGAAAGTCCTGACCGAACGTCTGACAAAATTATTGCATGATCAGTGGTGTTGGCTAGCTTTAACGACCTGCTTAAGGTAAGGGGCCAAAAACGCTGTTTTTTTAAATTATGTTTTTGTTGGGAAGGGGGCTGGTGATTAAATCACTGCATAGAGTCTGAAATAATGATAACTTGACTTGATAGTGTGAACAAGAAAAACCTGTTTAGACCTGCTTTCAAAGTTTACTTTTATTGGGGCCTTTTGTGGGCCGGATAGGGTCCTTATTATGGCTTGGACATTTGGTTCGTTATTTACGAAACAAACGACAAGTGAGAGTTGTTTATCTTACCATAAATAAACTGCAGGGAGAAGAAACCATGGGGGCGCAATGTTTTATTGTACGATAACGACCACGTTTCGTTTATTTCTTACATGAGATATCAACATTATGTTCACCCTCTTTAAGGATGTTGATTAAATGTACATTCTTTAAAAATATTTACCAATTGTTAATAATGATGACTCCCTAAATAAAATGTAGGACAAGTTCTTTGTACGACAAAGGGGGTTAAATCTTTATTTCCCGCATATTCTCTAAATCCTGTACCTTTTCTCCTTATACCGGTTGTCATACCTCTTTGGGGTGAATTAATCGAGCACTGCGTCTATGGGAAACAATTTCCTGGACACTTCCCTCTAAAAAATAACATTGTTCAATATATGTTGTTTGGAATATGTTTATTGTGAAATAAACCACGCTTCCTTCTTCATTGTTCTTTGTGGTTTATCGCGTAGCTATCTTATATTTAAAAACAGTGCCATGGTACTATTGCCAACCTTATAATAATATAATACGACAACAGTATAACACAGCCAATAAACAAACTTGCTGTCAGCATTGATGTCACATATTGAAATTCTTGATATGTTACGTTATCAATACAAATATGAATCAGGTAACTACTTTCAAAAACTAACTGTAGAGAAAAAACGTCTTTCTAATGTCAAATGAAACCCTTTTATCATATTTCTCTGTCGGGCATTTATGTATTATTTATCAAATTATTTATAGATTCCATTACTTCATATCTTGTTAATGATGTACGTGCATGATTTAAAATCATTTTTTTTCAGTACTATATTATTTTCTACAATAATTGGTCTAGCTATGGTAAGACTTAAATAAATTGCTAATGCTATAAACAGCAAAGTGAACCACCACACGACAAGTCCCTATCACGTCTTATAAATGTATTTAATTAGGTATTGTATTCTTCTTCATCTTAATATAAGGGGGCACGGGTGGCCCAGTCGTCTAAGGCGCCGCGATTCGCTGTGCAGAGTTGCGTCCCTTGGGCACGCCAGAAACCTATGATTGTGGGTTCGAATCGCGGTCCACCCCATTTATGTTTCTTGGTTTGTCAGCACCATACCCGTGCTCGTGGGTTTCACCGAAGTGGTAAACGTCCGAGACCTGCATCACTTCGGGCTTTCTTCCCACATTAAGCTGACACGCCGCGATATAACTCGAATAATGTTAAAAGCGGCGTTAAACCCAACTCACTCACTCACTCACTCATCTTAATATCTTACTCTTGTCTTGTTTTAATCAGGAGCAGCAAACGGTATTGTTGTGTCTCTGATTGACAAAGTATTTAAAGATGGTTGTTATGTGTGCAATTTGCAATCGCCTCTCATCACAAAGTGATACTGAATAAATAAAGACTGAATTAACAATCTACACCACTAGTGTTCGGACAAAAATGTTTATTATCATTAGCTATGGTGAGTATCCGAAGAAACTATAGACAAATCCATTTCCCTGAATGTTGAAGTGTATCTCAAATATTTTTTGACGGTGTAAAGTGTAAAGTTCATCATTAGGATAGAAATCATTAATAAATAATTTCATAAATTAAGAAAAATAATGTTTTCAGTGAACTTTAGTGATTCACGATAGTGTAGCTCTCATGATCAATATGATTTGTTTAAATATTAGGGAATGTGCAAATGACGTAGAAATTATACTTCTTAATTTTTAGTTTGCCTTTGTCAAACATCTTTTGTAATACAAAATCCCCCACATTATTCAATATTATTATGGAAATAAATACCGTTTCGATTGAACGCGCTGGAAGTGGAGATTTGTTCGGGGTGACAACTCAGTCTAATTTTCCTCATTGGTTGACAACGCAGGATTTCTGATCTTCTCCAATACTTTGCAATTACGAAGTACGAATTCATTTTCTCTTAAAAACATGAACTGAGATTATGTTATTGCATAGATCCTGTTAACACAGTATGATGATATGATATATTGTCTCAAGAATACCAGTAACATTCGAGGTGACGTATACTGTTTGTCTCTACTATTTCAGCGTGTGGAGTAAGCAGTGGCGTGTGCCTGCCTGATTGTCCTGGTGACCGTGACGATTTCGGAACCCCAGAGTGTTCTAGTGGGGAAATCTGTTGCCTTTCTGGTAAGTCAAAAATTATTTAGCATTGTGATGTTGCAGCTGTTAAAAAAGAAATACTGTAAGGAATAATATCACTTTATCTTATTTCCTTGGCACCATAAGGTGATTAATGAAAGTCCTCGCCCATAACATAAGATAGTCAAGTTTCTTTTTTTTTAAAAACCGTTCTGTAGTCTATTGGTATAGCGCCCACCCGGAGAGCAGAAAGTCAATCCCGGGGCGCCTTATACTGTAAAACGTTAAATGATGGTACTTGTTTTTACCCTGCCTGCCTCGCGGTATTAAGGAGGTAGAACAAGCACTAGTGAATGCATGAGTTAAAATTTAACATCGCATCGGCATTATTTCAGCCATATAGCGACGAGACCAAGTTAATATATTCACAATTTAGTTATTAATGCACGGTTATATTTGAAAAAAATTATGAAACATATTTGAGTATTGCAATATCATGTATACAGTTTTAAACCGAGGACTATAGGTCACCAGTAACCAAAGCTACGCCAACTAGCTGGGGATCATGGGGACTAGTTGTGCACTATACCAGCCAACAATTAAAAGAAATACTCAGCAATGAGTTGGCTCAAAAAAACACTGGTTGATGATAATTTCATAACACAGGGGAACAATAATTTTACAGTACATGTACTTTAACCTCATGGACAGAGCCTTTAATGATGTCCGTTTATACACACAAGCATTTACTTATCCACATACATATTTAACATTTATCATAATGACCAATAACTTTCAGTAATTTAAGATGAGATGCCGCTGAAACAGGAAAAGAGATCTTCAGATTTATGCTTAGATAATGTGAATCCCTTGCGATTGCAAAGTTAACACAGTCAGGCAATATGTATGTTTGACGGTGAACCTTTCATCACAAGGGATACACTTATGAGGCTCGTCCTCATCCGTCTTAAGCATATTCGTGTGTAAACCGACTTTGGCCAATATGACATCGTTGTAAAATGACCTCGTCATGTCTTGACTAACAACCCAAGTGGGTATGACCAATTGTTTCTTTTAATTCGAGAAGTTTAATGCTTCCTACCTGGGTGTCCCAACTCTTTTGCATGAGATCCCTAGTAAACTTTCGAAGGTTGGTTTGATATCACTGTACGGAATCATTGGTAGAGGTAACGGTTTGTCAAGAGCTGCTTTAGCTGCATCGGCTGTTGAGTTACCTATTGTGCCTACATCACATGGTAACCAGCAAAAGACGATGTAACATTGGCCAGTAGAAAGATCATTATAGAGTTCTAAAATATCAAGGATTATAAGATGATATGTTGAGACAATTATAAGTGCCTGAAGGCAAGAAAACGAATCAGAGAAGATTATGAAATTTGTAGATTGTTTTTTATGTTTGATTTGGTTAGTTGGTTTGTTGTTTAACGCCGCACTCAGCTATTGACGGCAATCTGTAAATAATCGACTCTGGACCAGAGAATCCAGTGATTGATATCATGACCATCGATCCACGCATCAACCAAGTCAGCGAGTCTGATGATGTTTGATAAAGATTAAAGCTGTTTGATAAAGGTAAAAGCTGTTAGGATAGCCTTGGCATCAGCAGTAAGTACTAATATCTGTTACTCCTGAGGAGACAGTCCTGGATCCAATGTGCCATCTTCCTTTTGATGCCGTTTTCATCGGCACATTTTTTAATTTTGTTAAGACAGAGCTGTAGCTGTCTTTTTATTGTATTCATATTCTTACCACGACAAGAAATCGTCCACAAAGAGTGAACCATCAACCCCATTGCTTAAGACTTAAGTGAGACTATTAATTTGGATGCTGAAAAGTGTGACTGATAGTTTGCTGCCTTGAGGGACGCCCCGATATTGATCGAAATTATCAGACAGGGTAGAGCCCACTCGTACTTTTCTGTTGTATAATTGAGATATGAACTGATGTTATCTGCCCCTGAAGCCGAATTCATGCACATCTTTTAAAATACCATGTTTCCACGTATCATATGCCTTCTGTTGATCGAAAATGATTGATAAAGTATGTTGTTTGTTGACAATAGAATGTTTAATGAATGATTCTAAACGCACCAAATGGTCAATGAATACTTCTATTCTTTCGGAAACCACACTGGATGTCACTTAGGATGTTATTGGTCTCCAAGTACCAGACAAATCGATTGTTGACCATGCGTTCCATCTTTGAGATGGTGAACTCCAGATTTGGATCCTTTGCACTTAATCTTTTGAATCATTCCACACCTTGGACATGGGTGTGCGGGAATAAATTTTCGACACAGGATTGACGTTTATGCTGTTTAAATGTATGTCTCGCTTTAGCGCTCGTGATTTTAATGTTATTCAAGTTGTGGACAGTTGTCGGCAGAAATATTTCTCAGCTTTCTTCATATTTTTCCTGGTTTGTTTACAATCATTACGAAGCCATGGTTTACTTCCATGAGGGTTTGCAGAGGACTTAGGAATGCTTTCGTCTCCAATAACATTTAATATATCTGAAAAATGTTGTATTGGATCAGGAATATTCCTGAAACTTTCGGGTTTTAGTTTTTCAGTCCACAGTGCTTGGAATAAAGACCAATTGGCATTTGTAAAGATCCAACTTGTTGAAGGCGGTTTATCAGACGGATTAATAGTTGTAAATAATGTACCGTCATCATGGGCAGACCATTGGAATTCATTTGATATATTTGAATCTGTCAGTGAGAGATCTAGGGTAGAGTATGTGCCAATGGCAGGATGAAGATATGTGTTATTACCATCATTGAAGATGCATAAATCATTGTTTGAGATAGAAGCTTCAAGGACATTTCCATTATTATTTGTATCAGTACTTCCCCATAAGGGGATTATGACCGTTTACATCGCCCATAATGATACAGGCCTTCGGGAGCTGATCGTACAAGGTCTGAAGATCTGATTGACGGAAAGTTGAGGAAGGTGGAAGATACAGTGAACACTGTGTAAACACTACATTGAAACTACCACGACAGAAACAGCTTGTAGAGTAGTGTTAAGTGGAACAGGGCTATGAATTATGCTCTGTTACATCGGGATAGAAGAACCTCCTGTAGTGTTATGACCAGGAGGGGAATACGAATGGTAAGAACAATACTGATGGATATCAAATGTATTTGTGTTTTTTAGATATGTTTCTTGAAGACGAAATGTTGACTGTTTACAATCTTGGATTAAAAGATGTATTTCATTACAATTCTTCTTAAGACCTCTGCAATTCCTTTGTGTTATGTGTTATGGATTCATTGTGGTGCTTCCGCGGGTAAAATGTCAAGCGAACGTGAGGAAAACTTTGTAGTACTCCAATTACCCTCGCATTGGGATGGAGTTACCTCCATGTCCAGAGGACCAGAGGAGTTATGGACCTCTACTGGGACCTCTAGGTGTTTGCAGCTGTTCTTTTTGCTGCTTCTTTTCCAAAGTTTTTACTGGTTCTGGCTCAGGTGTTATTTTAGTCTGAAGACTCAACATTTTTGACAGTTTTTGGATTGAAGCAGCACGAAGTGGCTGAACAGACTTAACCCATCAGTAATGACATGAGGACGAGACACAGCAGTAGTAGGAGATGTTGGAAGTGCTTGCAGTGAGCCATACAACCCTCTTCTTAGCTTCGCGGTAAGAGAGATTATGTTCAGTTTTGACTGTAATAACTTGTGATTCACGTTTCCACACAGGGCAGGATGATGCACAAGCCATATGGTTTCCACCACAATTGAAACCTCACGTCCCTCCTGCAGTCTGTTGCCATGGCAGGACTTTGATCCATGTCCAAACGCTTGGCATATGTAGCACCGGAGTGGATTGGGGACATACACCTCCACTCCGATGTTACAATAACCAGCTTTGATAGATTCAGGGACAGTCGTTCGGGCGAAAGTGAAGAGGTGGGTGTTGGTCGGTTGGACCACACCATGACAAAAGGAAAGTAATTCTGCACCCCATTTTCCCACCCACCATGGAGTGTCAACAAGGACAGTCTTTTGCTGCAGCGGATCTTCAAGCTGCAAAGACCAGGGATAAAGGGGTGGTATACTCCAGCAAATTTGACATAAACAGCAATAGTATTCTACCAAATAAAGGTCAGGGTGGATAAGCCCATGACAATCAATTGGAGAAGGACAGAATTCGTAGGTCAGCATCACCAGATTGGCCCATGAGCCACCACCTTCTAGGCATAGGGCTCTAAGCAGCTTTTATACACATTGAGACACATACTCGAATATACACTACTGCCTAGAAGTTCATTCCCTTTGCATGCATGGGCAACGCGTTGGGCAACCTGTGTGCACCCCATTGGTCATTCCTGTGGAACATGAACGCCACGCGTGTGACATCCGTGTGCAACACGGTGTACGACTTTAAGTGAATGTGTTGAATTTTGACGGAGCATTGTTTTTATTGGACCCTAATTACTTTGTCTCAGCTCCATAGCCGTGACGCTCGGAAAGGGAAGCATTTAAGTAATGAGAGTAGGTGATATTATGGAGGCACTTGAGTGTGAGTAAGCGAGTTAATATCTAACGTCACATTGGCAGTATTTCAATATGATGAGAAGTTATACAATAACAATACATAAATTTAAACTTTATAAAAACCTGTCATTGAAGGACAGTACGATAACTAGAATTTCATAGATAAGATGTAAAACTACTTGAGGAACATTTAAAAGCAGGACGAAGGAGTTGACAGCACAATATAAAAAAAAGGGCTGGAGATCGTTAGTAAATAAAGGGAGATTACCATATCAGGGGCCATTGAGACTTACAGACCCTTTTGCCTCCTGCATGGACCCTGGCAGGATTTATATCATCCCTTCAGGCACTGGCGACAGTTAAGCCTTCTATTAAAATGATGAAAATACTACGTTTAAAATTCTTAAAAATAGAACAGTTATTTATTAATCGGGATGAGATAGTCCTGGATTCAATGACAGTGGTGCTGGCAACAGTGAGTGAGTGAGTGAGTTAAGATTTAACGTGACATCGGCAGTAT